GTCACTTATGTATTATTTAGGTTATAAAAGTATTTAAATAATTATATTTAAAAGGCTTTAACTAGTTCCATATTAATTTTATGTTCAAAGCTTGGGAAAATACTACCTTAAAATGCATAATTAGAAATAGACAGTACCTTATGATCATGAGTTGTGTTTTTATTCTCTGCATACTCTAGTTGGTCTCCATGTTTAAAAAAGCTATTGCAGAAGGGCTTAACTACCTAAGTTGGTCTTAGAGGGAAGGCAGCAATTGCTACTGCAGTTGACTTCATTTACTTAGAAATCATTGCGACGCTCATGGCCAACATTTTTAATTAGTAACAACATTCTTGAGGAGGACGGGGGTAGGCTCAGAATCCTTCTCAACACAGTGCTTCCAAGGCAGCCACTACTATTTCATTAACATTGGCAATGAGAAATGCAACCAGCCTCTCTCTGGTGAGATACTGGTTGTTTTCAGGGGCCCAGTGCCTACAAGGCATAGTAATTGCCACTAGATGGCACTAGTGCTATGTCAAGAGTGTCCTCAAAGCCCAAGTCTCTAATCTGTTCCATTTGAGGCTTTTATAAACCTAAATGTTCCTGGAAGTCCATAACCACTCACAGCAGTTGTTGACCTACCTTCTCAGTCCACTGGTGACAACTTTTCTCTAAATCCTTGGAGTTGATGTTCAATAACTAAAAATCTAAGGAAGAAAGTATAAGGGCACACTAATATCTTGCCTGATACCAGGGACAATTTTTGTCTTGGATATCTGGAGTATCATATTCCCTGTAGTAGTGTCTTCCATGTTATTCCAGGAAGATGCTCAAGCTAATTCTCATTTCTTCTCCCCACCCCCCACCCTTTATTGACAGCCTATTTAATTTTTTTTTTTTTTGAGTCTTGGTTTTCTCGTTTATAAAGAGGATTAAATATAGTTACCCTAGGAGGGTTGTTTTAGAGGTTAAAAGTGATAATATCTAGCCCTGGCTGGATGGCTGAGTTGGTTGGAGTATTGTCCCATACACAAAAAGATCTCGGGTTTGATCCCTCGTTAGGGCATCTATGGGAGGCAACTGATTGTTTCTCTCTCTCTTCCTCTCTAAAAATCAATAAAAACATATCCTCAGGTAGTGATTTTTAAAACGGTGACATATCCAAAACCTTACATATTGTGACATAGGTGGAATTTAAGCAAATTAATAGCACCATTGCCAGATTTTTGCTATTATAGGAAAGCATATGCTTTAAATGTATGACAAAGTTTAGCAACTACCTTTTATTTTTTGTTAATTAAACTGAAAATTCCACCACTGGCTCCTCAGTACTTACTATTCTCTTCCCACGTCCAGTAGTCCAGCTCCCCTCAAAGGGCTAAATTTTTCAACATTTTTCCCTTGAGGGTCTGTCAAACCTCTCACAGCTCAGTTGTTGGAAGTAGCATCTCATCCAACATGGTGCTACATGCTCCTGGTGCTACTATTTATTATTTTCTATACTGAGTATTAATTTTTAGATACAAAACTATTCTCCCCTCCTTTGTATTACCAGAGTACTTTGTCTTAATCATATCTATTCTCTTAACTTTATGCTTAAAAAAAAAAAAATATATATATATATATATATATATATATATATATATGAGTGTTAAGCACATGGTAGGCACTAAATGTTTATTATGTATACTCTGTATCACAGTTTATTAACAAAACACTATTCCAGAGGAGAGAAAGACAATTAATAAGCTATCTTGTGGCTTTATGTTGCTCTGTTGTTAGAGCTCTTCATCAGTTTGAGATGTTAAAGCTTAATTGGAACTATAAGTACCCAGGAATAAATTTAAATGATTGTGAATTTCAGAGATAGTGTTTCCATTTCACATGCCTCAGTCTCCTTTTCTCTTTGCCAACCCTGTAATCAAGGCACAGGATCTTATTTAAGCTAACAAATGATTATCCTTCATTACATAAGTAGTATGTAACTTGACCTTAAAAGGCTGCTTACTTCACAAAATGGCAGTGAATCTAGCCACCAGCTGTGTCTACTTTCATAATATCTTGATACCTTGAATAGAAGCTGATTTTTCAAGAGCTAGGGAGTCATTGCCTCAACACTTCCGTCTCTGATCTAGAATGCATCGGTGTTTTCAGGCCATGGAACTGCATCGTCTCTCACGAGTTCTGATTCCTCTTGAGTTTAAAATACATTCGAAATCTGCGCTTGTTGTTTATAGACCACAAGCTATATGAATACAGTTTCTGAGATATACTCCTGTAATACTCTTTGTACTCATTGCCGATCTCATCTTTGAGTATCATTAAAACCTGGGTAAAAACAAAACTTGAACAATAAGAGATGGATAATGTATGTGATATTGTTGGAAAATAGATAATATATTTAAAATACTATAGGAACACAAATGGACCTAAGTGATTTTTAAAACCATAAGATTTCAATGATTATTTCTTTGAACTTGAAGTGGCTAAGAAATACTTCAGCATAAACACAATGGAAAGATCATCAAGATAAATCAATGTTAGGTTTATATTACATATAATGTTAGGTTTATATTACATACAAGTTAAAAAGCTGCAGGGTATATAACAATCAAGAGGATTGGGTTAAAAATACATATAGGCTGGAAAGGTGTAATGTCTTTAATGTATGAAAAACTCTCTTAGGCCTGTGATAAGGCCTACTATAATAATAGCATTATTATAACATTATTAACAACTAGAGGCCCGGTGCATGAAACTCATGCATGGAGGTGGTGTCCCTCAGCCCAGCCTGCACCCTCTACAATCTGGGACCCCTCTCATAATCCAGGATGCTGGCTTCAAACTGTTCGCCTTCCTGCCTGCCTGATTGCCCCTAACCACTTCTGCCTGCCAGCCTGATAACCCCCTAACCACTCCTCTGACAGCCTGATTAATGCCTAAGTGTTCTCTGCCAGCCGATTGCCCCTAACTGTCCTCTCCTGCCGGATGGTCCCTCCCAGCTGCCCTCCCCTGCAGGACTGGGTCCCCCCTAACTTCCCTCCTCTGCCAGCCCATTCACCCCTAATTGCCCTCCCCTGCAGGTCTGATCGCCCACAACTGCCTTCTCTTGCAGGCCTGGTCCCTCCCAACTACTCTTCCCTGCTGGCCATATTGTGGTGGCCATCTTTGATCACATAGGGGTAGCCATATTGTGTGTTGAAGTGATGGTCAATTTGCATATTACATCTTTATTAGATAGGATCTTATTTATTGAATGTTATGATATACAGTGTGTCCTTCTGAGATTCTGTCATATAGTTAAATCCTCATAATAATTCTTTGAGGGAGATGATATAATTATTGTTCCATTTTACAGATGATGAAACAGAGATATAAGGAGGTTAAGTAGCTTGCTCATGATTGCATAGCTGTTAAGTAGCTTGTATTAATACTTTGCTGTTTTTCGATTCCAGGAGTGTAGTTCTGATGTCTGTTTTCTTAACCACTATTCTATACATCTTAACATAGGCAAAGGACAAAAAAGGAAGTTGTAAAAAGAGATATAAAATGACCTAAAGCATGATAAATTTTCATTTTCATTAATGATATAAAATCAAATTAAAATAAAAATGGAATATCATTTTTCTTAGGAATAGAATGATGAGAATAGGAAGTTTACATGGAGTGGAGGTAGAAATGCATTTCTGGGGTGTGTGTCCCCAGAAATACTTAGTCACAAGGATACTTAGTCACAAGGCAGAAGGCTTGGTGGGTCAGGGGGCAGTGCGACAGGGCTAAGGCTGGAGATTCTGCTGCTCCAGGCAGTGGGAATGTGCCATTGCCCTGGAAACTCTTCTGGAAAACTGGAGAAGATGTGCTTGCTCCATAGTCTGGTTTTTTAACTCCACGTATTCAGTTGGTTACATTCCTGGGTGTCAGATAGCATAGCCTGCAAGACTGGCCTTTCTCAAAATAAGTAGGGTTTGGTCAATGGCAGCTGCATGTGTGTGGGGAAGGATGATTGAGAATTACAAAGCCTTTCTTTTGAGTAAGTCTCTGAAGAGATTGCCAGGCTTTAGCTTTGATTAAAAAATTTCAAATTACACATTTCTTGTGGCATTATTATATCTGAGAGAAATTTCATAAAGCTGTACTCGGTTGCCTCAACTGTTGACGAATGATTCTTGATGTTTAGTTTGGTATAAGATGCTGGGAATATAAGTCTACTTCCTTTATTCAAACTCAGTAAGTGGTTTGGGACAATTAATTTCCAATTGTTTCCCAGTAGAGCAGATTTACTTGTATATTAATGAGGCACAGGTGTTAGGCCCCTGGTGCCTGCGTGCCTGGGAGGCATATTTCAGTTGTTTATCTACTCAGCCATAGGTACTGCAAGGTACTCAAGCTTGCCTTTAACAGTTTTTATAGTGAGGCTTTTTAATTTTTTGATGTTTATTTTTTCCAAGTTTGCCTGCACCTGTTAAAATTTTAAAACAGATCATGTAGAAAGAAGTTGCAGAGATTTCAATAGCAAATAGCACTAAAAAGTAAAAGAAAGCATTCTTCTGGTATATCTACCTGCCAGCCTGACATTGAAGAGAAATGGGTTCATTTCAACAGATATTTCATGTGAGAAGCCAATGCAATCAACAATGCACCTTTTTATTGTGTGTTTTTGGAGCATGTATATCTTTGTCAATGGCTAAAGCAGTCATAAGCTTATGCTAATATTCATTTTTTGTCTTGTCTATTCAGTGAACTGCACTACCAACATTTTAGAGGAAATGGAATAGCCTCCATAGACATTATGAATTTCAGTAGCTGGCATAATTATAGCGATCTACATATTCATTAAATCTACAGAAGAACTCCGTCCAAAAAGACAGCCATGCATTCAGAAGCAGTGCACAACTAAATATATACGTCTTAAAAGTTGCATTTCTTAGACTTATTTAAAATTAATTTCCTGTAGCACTCCTCTCCAAGCAGAAGAATTTTAACAAAAGGATCTCCATGCTTTGGTTTCTTGCATATAGGAAAGAATGGGAGGATCTCTTTGTAAACAACAATTACTTGGCAACAATAAGGCAGAAGGGGATTAATGGGCAGCTGAGAAGCAGCAGGTTCCGCAGCATTTGCTGGAAGGTAAGAAGAAAATATTTATTTACAGTTTGCGGTTGCAGTATATCAACACATTACCTGATGCCCTGGAAGATTACCCATTCGGGGGATCACTGAATTTTCCAGGACCTGCACTCTAGACTTTTTTTTTTTTTTTTTTTTTTTTGGCCATCCATGCTTATCTTTTATAGAACATTTACTAATAAGGTTGAATTACCTTAGTTCTGAATAACTGGTGATGGTAATAAGTCCTTTGAAATAACAGTTTTTTCATTTCACTTGATGGTGCAGAATTCAAAGCAACACCCTAACATGCCCCAGTTGCTACAGAAACTGTTGAAGCGGGGCAGGGGCAGGGGGGGATTCATTTCAGATTCCTGTTATATCTAGTGCCATCATTTATCCATCCTTCCTTTTCTCTTCATAAATAGCAGATAGGAAAGGTGTTTTTTTTTAAAAAAAAAATATTTCTTTTACTGGAAACACAAAGTGTAGGGCAGCAAGAAGTGAAGGAAATTAAGTCAATCTCTTTCTAAAAGAAAGGGTCATTGGCTACCAAAACTGGTAATAAGAATCCACAGTTATCATTTTACTTGATTGGAAATATTGTCCCTTTTTCTACTCAAAATGAATTAATTTAGGTTTAGTCACATTTCTAAAATGAGCTTTACTGGAAGTTTTTTTTTTTAGGGTAAGTCTGCATGAATTGAGCATCCAGAGCCTGCAAGTACAGACAGTAAGGAAACATGATGTATTACAGTTTTAGATTTGATAATTTAGATTTAATATTGAAAAAACATTTTTCTTCTGATAGATGCAGGCAGTTAAGGCAGGAGACCTGCTGATGAAATATATTTGCATACAAATATTCGTGCCTCACCCCCCTCCATTCTTTGTTGTTTAACTTTTAGTATCCTTCATTTGTGGAAAATAAACTCAAATCCAGATTTATTTTAATGTATTAAGCTAAATTAAATCAAATTTGTTTTTTTAAGAATGCTTGTTATTTTCATAAGCTGATTGCCTGTTATAAATTGAGTTGTCTGCTGTGAAAGGAATAACTGCACTTCTCAGGCTGTGTCCTCAGATTGCTCTAGTATGTCCTCTACCTGCTTCATTCAGAACAAATCTTAAACCTTGAAATTACTAACTGGACCTTATGCCTGTAAATGTCCTCTCTTCCCCCAAACAGTACTTCTCCATTTCACTGACAGAGTAATTTAGGACTGTAAAATTGGAATCATACTTGAACTTCAGTGCATTTTTTATTCATTTCATATATATATATATATATATATATATATATATAGAGAGAGAGAGAGAGAGAGAGAGAGAGAGAGAGAGAGAAGGTTGCTTCCATTTTGTGGTGTAGCTTTTGAGATCTTGGGGGGAGAGTGGTCTTTGTTCATATTTGGATTATGAAAATACATATTTCTTAAATATCTCTGAATTTTCAGGTGATTCTCTTTGGCATAGTTTCACACTTTACTTCTTATGATTTTTATAAGAGTTTTTTTTTTTTTCTTCTTGACAGCTATTTCTTTGTGTTCTTCCTCAAGATAAAAGTCAGTGGATAAGTAAAATTAAAGAATTAAGAGCATGGTATAGCAACATCAAAGAAATAGTAAGTTGCACTTTAATTAAAATGTGTTTTCAAATGTGTGCTATAAAGTCCAGTGGCCTCTAATCTCTTGTTTTCTTTCTTTCTTCCCCAGCACATCACCAACCCGAGGAAAGTCGTTGGCCAGCAGGACCTGATGATCAATAATCCCCTTTCACAGGATGAAGGGGTAAATTTCGAATTTATTCATATCACAACTTCTTTTACCCATGAGCACATGTTTATCAGACTGGTTATCAGTTACCACAAAATAGTGTTATTTCATACCAACAATATTTTAACCCCACATACTACCTAAAACCTCATGGAAACTTTCTCATCTATACACATATTAAAAGCCCATTGCACGAAGATTCGGGCAATAGGCCTTCCTTCCCTGGCTGCCGGCACTGGTTTTCCTCTGGCACCCGGGACCCAGGCCTTCTCTCTGGCCACCCCCTTCCATCTTTGCTCTGGCCGGAACCTTCAATCCTCACTCCAGCCGGAGCACCGCTACTGTAGCTCCCTCCGCGGCGCGTCCCCTCCCCCCCCCCCCCATAGCAGGCGTCCCACCCGCCTGGCTGCTCCATGCCTGCATGCATGCTTCCCAGAGGCCTGGAGCATGGGGGTGGGGCCGCCGCCATCTTTGTTGGGTTAATTTGCATACTCCTGATTGGCTGCTGGGTGTCGCAAAGTGATGGTCAATTTGCATGTTTCTCTTTTATTAGTGTAGATACCATGTTGGAGCAAGTGTATGATCCATTTCTGTGAAATGGCACTACAAAGGAGAAGTCCCAAGGGAGTCTTTAAGAACTAAGGACAAACTAGAAGAGCAAAAAGATAAGGATGGAACTATTTTATCAAGGGTGCTGAAGGGAGCGGTAGGAAAGCCTCCCTGTATGATAGAAATAGAGAAAGGTTCATTTTGTAGGACTAATTTAGAGGAAGAAAGGAATCTAACTATTTTTAGTGATTCCATGAAGAAATTTTTAAAGATAGGGAAAAGGTTAGACCTACCTCCACTCATATTCTTGTGAAGACTAGGAATAATTACTTCTTCGTAAGTGTTGTATAACTTTTTGAATTACTGTTGTAATTCCTAGTTTCCTACTAATAGACTTTTTTTTTTTAGTTAATATGTAACATTAGCATTTTCCCCTGAGACATATCTATATATATAAAAGGCTAATATGCAAATTGTCCACTCAGGAGTTCAGTTGCTCACTATGAAATGTGCTGACCACCAGGGGTCAGTGCAGAATGAAGGAAGGCCCCAATCCGCCCTGATTGAGGCTAGGCCTAGGGAACCTATCTGTGCATGAATTTCGTGCACCAGGTCTCTCATAATTATAATATAGTTTATGGTACAGCAGCATAAAATACTGTTAAGTAAATTTTAAAACTTTACTTAAATTTACATTTTAAGAAATATCTATTCAATTGGGCCCTGTCTGGTGGGGCTAAGTAGTTAGAGCATTGGCCCTTGCACTGAAGGATTGTGGGTTTATTTCCAGCCCCAGTCAGGAGACATGTGGGAGGTAACCAGTCAGTGTCTCTCTCATTGATGTTCCCCTCTTCCTCTCTCCTCTTCCCTACTTTCCTCCTTCCCAATCTCTCTTTAAAAATCAATGGAAAAAATATCCTCAGGTGAGGATTAATAATAACAAAAAACTATTAAATTGGACGACCAAACTTTGTAGAAAACATTGGGAATTCAGGTTAGGTACATGTCTAAACAGTTGGGCTATGGCCTACTCTAATCCAAGCATACTTTTTTATTATTTAGAGATAGTACTGGGTACATAATAGTAAAAGTATTATTCATTTTATATAGATAAATAATTTAAATATATATAATAATATCTCTGGAAAAATTGATGTTAGAATAAGGATGTGCCGGAGAGTAAACTAGAATTTAATAAAATTGCTCCATATCCAGGTTTCCTATCTGCAACGTGAAATGATAAAGAAGGATAAATTTAATCATTTAAATTATTAAATTGAGATAATCAAAATCAAGCAAAGGTGTGAAATTATTTAAATAGCTTCTTTTTATTTCAGAGTCTTTGGAACAAGTTCTTCCAAGATAAAGAACTCCGATCAATGATTGAACAAGATGTCACAAGAACGTATGTAGAACTATTTATAAATTACTTTAATTAATTAAAATCAGTATTACCTCTTTGTGTTTTAGCAAAATCCACCATCTATTGAGGAGCTTTATGTTAATAACAAAGTTATTTTGGCCTAGTTTTGATTATAACTATCATTTTCTATTCTTAGAATACAGACTTCTGTGTTCCATTTTTCAAAATAAATTATATTTATGATGTTGACACTCTTAAATAATATTTCATCATTTTTTTAATTTTCAACAATTATTTTAAGTCATGTGCTTCTGATTAAGGTTGCATTATGTATTCATAATACGGATATTGCTAGAAATATTTATCTCTTGCTTTACACTTTTGAATTCCTTTCTAACCAAATTACTTTTTGAATGACCAGTATTACTTTTACCCTCTTTATTTCCCTTCCTCTTGAAGCCATTGAGATTTGCAAACAATTCCTTCTCTCGTCTACTCAGTATTTACCATGTGAAAAAGCAGTTTCTTATTTAGCACATAGTCAATATTCATACCTTTTATACATTGACCTCATTTTTCTGGGTCAACTAGTAAGAAGTACATGGCATTTGTGTAAGAAGATTCTAGGGTAAGTTATAGCAACATATGCTGTAATCTTGAGCCAATTATTTTCAATGAATGTCTTTCTCCTGAGTGTCCTTTTCTATAAAATGGGGAAAATAGCAATCACCTCATAGTGTTTTTATATGAATATATTTGTAATAGAAGCAAATGACATATGTTTATAATTTAAAGTATAAAAAAGCACATACATGCTATTAAATTTGATTTAATCATTGGGGTCTAGGATGAGCCAGGTATATAGATTCGTGAGTATCTCTGGGGCCTTCTTCCAAGTCCTTCCACAACTTTGCCTGGCTGCCCATTCTTAGTTCAACTTCTACTAGATTTGTCACAGTGTCAAGGCCTCTGGCTCTCTGCTATTCCTCTCTTTTCAGATCCAAACAGAATACTCAAATGGCATGGACCCCTTTTAAGGTTATTCTATATATTTAACAAATGAAATTTGCTTCACAAAATTCAGAGGAATCTTGAGTTCAGAACACAACAAAATCGTAGAAAGCTAGCAATAATATTGGTTTGGGAATAAAGGTTTGGGTTCATTTTGATGAGTTTGAGTTATCCAGTTACCAGAATAACCACTTACAGGGAAGCTCCACTCAGAGGTGTGGGGTGATTATGTGCAATGCCCTCATAATGATCTTGGAAAGTAGAAGACCATTGTGTTGATGCACAGGAGGCACTCAATTAACATTTGTGAATATAACAAAAAGAATAAGTTTCCTCATCAGTCATTTAAATAACTAGGTAATTGGTGGCAGTAAAACAGGACTCTAAAAACAAAATCCAAGGTATATAATCCTAACTCCATGATAAAGATACCTTTTTCTTTCAGATGCTAGGCAATTATCTTAGAAAAATTAGCCACTTCAGCTTGAAATGGCTAATAAGGATGATAGGCCAGGTGGGCCAGATTGAAAACAAAACAAAAACAAAAACAAAAACAAAAAAAAACAGCAAGCAGAGGGGGAAATAAAATGTCGATAGCCAAACCTAATAGGAAGTGGCTTTGGAGTCAGTTCATTATTTTGGTTACTTAGCTCAAACATTTTTGCTTTGCTATTAGAAAGTGTTATTTCTTGAAAGCTGTGGTTTTACAACTATTTAGTTTCATATTTTCTATGCATTTTTCTTATGGCATGTATATAAGCGTGTTTGTATATATATGTACACACACACACACACACACTAATAAAAGAGAAACATGCAAATTGACCATACATCTACTATGCCCACCAGCCACAGCCACCAGCCAATCAGGAGTGAGTATGCAAATTAACCCAACCAAGATGGCTACAGCCAGGGACCAAGCAGGAGGCTTGGGTTTCCCTGGCAATGGAGGAAGCCAAGCTTCCCACCCGCTCTAGCTGGCCCTGGCCTCCACTCAAGGCTACAAAGTTTCAATTATATTATAGAAGATAAATAAATCCCAACAAAAATGGAGGTAGCCATAGAGCTGGAGAGAGCAGAAGGCTTGGGTTGTCCCCAGCAATGGAGGAAGCCAAGCTTCCTGGCTGGCCCTGGCCTCCGCTCAAGGCTACAAAGTTTCAATTATAGAAGATAAAAAATCCCAGGTACCAGGGCCTCCCCTTGGATCACCAGGGTGCATGGGTAGCCTGCAAACCACCATAGGCCCCTTACCCAGACTATCCTATGCCCCAAGGGAACCCCTACCCTGATCTGGACACCCTTCAGGGCAAACCATCTGGCCTCAACCTGTGCACCAGGCCTCTATCCTATCTAATAAAGAATAATATGCAACTTGACCATCAGTCCAACACACAAGGTGGCTGCTCCCATGTGGTCAAAGGTGGCCTTCACAAGATGGCCAGCAGGGGAGGGAAGATGGGAGGGATCAGGCCTGCAGGGGAGGGCAGTTATGGGCAATCAGACTGCAGGGGAGCAGTTAGGCATCAATCAGGCTGGCAGGGGAGTGGTTAGGGGGTGATTAGGCTGGAAGGCAGAAGCAGTTAGGAGCAATCAGGAAGGCAGGCAGGCAGGCAAGCAGTTGGGAGCCAGCAGTCTTGGATTGTGAGAGGGATGTTCCTCAAGGGGTCCCTGATTGAAAAGGGTGCAGGCTGAGCTGAGGGACACCCCTCTCCCCCATGCACAAATTTCGTGCAATTGGCCTTAGTATATATACACACACACATTCACACACATACTAGAGGCCCCATGCACAACATTCATTTAGTGGGGGTCAGGAGAGTCCTTGAGCCTGGCCTGTACCCTCTCGCATTCAGGGAACCTTTGGGGGATGTCTGCCTGCCAGAGCAGGCCTAAACTAGCAGGTGGACATCCCCTGAGGGGTCTTTAGTGTTGCAACAGGGTGGGAAAGGCTCCCGCCACTGCTGCTGCCTTTGCCAGCTGTGAGCCCGGCTTCTGGCTGAACTGCACTCCCCGTGTGTGCACACTGACCACCTGGGGGTAGCTCCTGCATTGAGCGTCTACTCCCTTGTGGTCAGTGTGCATCATAAGAACTGGTCATTCTGCTGTTGCATATTAGCCTTTTATTATATAACTAATCTCAACTGGTACATTTTAAGTAAGTTGGCAAACTTGAGATTCAGGGAAAGCAACTAGGAAGCCCTGTAGTCCATAGCACAGAGGGGAGATAGCATACCTTCTCTCCCAGAAGGCTCTCTCCATATTTAGAGTAAGTTTCCTTGTCATCTCTGTATGTATCTTGTGGCAAGTAACTTTGTTTGTAAGGTAAGATTGTCAATCTTATTGTAAAGCCACCAAGTTGCCTAATCATAAAAGCTGAATAGGTTGAGTAATTTTACTACTTTAGGTAATACATTCTCTCTAGAAGGCACTATGTGATCTAAAATCCATGTTTTTTAATTCAGTCTGCAAGACAGCTCATAATGCAATAGGAGACAAAAGGAAGTACAGCTCAGTTAACGTTATATGATGCTACTCAGTCACTGACATCTGTGATAAGAAATTTGTTTTTTTTTAATGTCTATTTATTGAATGTCTACACCATTTCAGGCTTATCCTTTGGAGGAGGCTGGGGGCAGGCGGGTGGGGGAGAAGCATGGTGGTGCAAAAGACAGGCAAGATCCTGCTATCATAGGATGTACATTTTATTGTAGGCGGATAGAGGGTGAGATAATAAGCATGTATAGATACAGAGGGTAATTGCAGAGGGAGGTAATTGCTGTGAAGAAATGAAGAAGGGTAATAGGAGAGCTAGAGGGGATGACTGCTTTAGGAACAGTGATCAGAAAAGGCATCCTTGAGAAAATGACATTTGAGGTGAGATGTGAACAAATTTTAAAAACCAGTTATGTGAATATCTAGGGGAAGAACATTCCAGGCAGAGGAACAGCTGGTGCAAAGTCCCTCAATTAAAATAAGCTCAATATTTAGAGGAACAAAGGGAAGGCAGGTGTGGCTGGAAGCAAGTGCTTTAAACAGGGACGTTGAGATAAACTCAAATTCCAGAACAGTCCTACAGACCACAGATAGGAGTTTGGAATTTATTCCAATTGCAATGAGAAGCCCTTAGAGGATTTTGAGCAGGGGTGTGATATTTGAAAAGATAATTCTGACTGCTGTGATACTGGGGTGAAGGTGGAGGTAGGAATGAATCTATTGCAGTATTCTAGGTTGAGTAATGTTAGTGACTTAGACTAAAGATGCACTATTAAAGGTGGTGAAGAGTAGATGGGTTAGGGTATACATTTTATTTATTTATTTATTTATTTATTTATTTAAATATATTTTATTGATTTTGTACAGAAAGGAAGGGAGAGAGATAGAGAGTTAGAAATATCGATGAGAGAGAGTCATCGATCAGCTGCCTCTTGCACACCCCCTATTGGGGATATGCCCGCAACCAAGGTACATGCCCTTGACCAGAATCGAACCCGGGACCCTTCAGTCCCCAAGCCGACGCTCCATCCATTGAGCTAAACCGGTCTCGGCAATACATTTTATATTTTTAAATACAGAGTAGGGAGTCATTATATCTAGTTTTCTCACATCGGTTCTCTTTCATTTTTACTGCTCCGTTTCAGGTTCTTTTTACCTCCCACCTCGAGTCTCTTGTTTATCGTTTTCTTGAATCTGTTACTTATCTTCTCCAGTATTAGTCATGTGTTACAGCCCTGTCTCCTCAAAGCACATTTCTAGTCATGATACTTGCTTCATCTTAAAATTCCTATGACTCTCCCTGTGGTCTGCAGAAGAATGGACTAACACACATATAGCTCCCTTTAAGATTTTACTTGTCTTTCTGTGATCTCTGGTCTGAGATCAGACATTGTATGACTTCTATTCTGTCACATATGTTAAGGTGTGTTTTATGGTCCAGAATGTGGTCTCTCTTATGAATGTTCTACATGAGCTTGAGAAGAATGTGTATTCTGATGTTATTTGATGAAGTAGTGTATACACTGAGTATATTAACT